GCTGCTGCTGCTGCTGCTGCTGCTGCGGGGGGGACTGACTGGTCGATGTTCTGCAGCACGAGAGCAGCAGCTTCCTGGAGTTCTTTCTGGCTGCGGGGGGCCAAGTTCTCCCCGTCAATTTGCTGCAGCGGCTGCCCATTTGCTGCAGCATTAGCAGCTAAAACTGCAGCATATTCTGGAAACCAGGCGCTGCTCTCGTTGCCCCGAAAGTCCACTTTCTGCGGTGTACAGACACCCGACGCGCCCCACACGCCCCACACAACGCTCCACAGCGCCCAACGCCACGCAGCAGCAGCAGCAGCAGCAGCAACAACACAAACAGCATCACCAGCAACAGCAGCAGCAGCAGCAACACAAGCAGCATCACCAGCAACAGCAGCAGCAGCAGCAACAACAGCAGCAGCAACAGTAGCACCAGGAGCAACAGCAACAGCAGCAGCAGCAGCAGCAGCAGCAGCAGCAGCCGTACCGCGAGTTTGGAGAGTCCCTTGAGGTGTTCAATTTCTCGGAGGAAGTTGGAAGGCAAAGTGCTGAGGCAATTGTAGGAAAGATCCAGCTGCCGCAAATTCGGCAGCAGCAGCAAACTTTCCAAATTTGCTTCTGCAGCAGCAGCAGCAGCAGCAAAGCACGCGCTTTGCTGCAGTCAACAGGCCTTTTTACTCACCCTTATTTCCTCATTTATTCGCAAGTTTATTCGCAAATTTATTTGTAAATTTATTTGCAAACTTGTTTGCAAATTTATTTGCAATTTAATTTAAAATTAATGTAAAATTGGATTAAAATTGGTTTAAAATTGGTTGGAATTTATTTGCAAATTCATTTGCTGCTGCATGCACTAAAGGGGGTTCACAACCCCACGAATAAACACGCAGTACTGCTGCCAGCAGCAGCAGCAGCTGCTGCTGCTGCTGCTGCTGCTGCTGCCGTACTTGTTGAATTTGCACTGCATTGCTGTTTGCGCAGGTGTACGTACACTCCGTGCCCAGGTGCAAAAAGAGCATTTTAAACAACGGAAATTTTAATTTAAAAAAATAATTAAATAAAATAAAAGTGGATTAAAATTAAATGAAACTTCACTTTATTTATACTTGCATTTTATTTGCAACAAAAATAAAACGAAAACTTCTTTTAAAGACCTATTCTGCATTCCTCTATAATGCACCTCTTCCAAAACTTCTCCAGAATTTCACAAATCAAATTAAATTAAATCAAATCAAACTGAATCAAATCAAACTGAAGCAAAGCAAATCAAATTAAATCAAAGCAAATAAAGTTAAATAAAACTAACAAAAAAGACCAAGCAAACGAAACAACCAAACCCCACCAAAGGCCAAACCAACCAAACAAAACAAACCAAACAGAATAAACAAAACAAACAAAACGAAACAAACAACCAAAACAAAACAAACGAACAAAATGAACAAAATGGAAAAATAAAATAAAAAACAAAGTAATGGACCGGAGATTCGGTTGTGGCTGAGGAGAAGTTCCTCGAGGTTGCGGAGGCCCTGGAGGTCCGGGAGAGTTTGGAGTTGGTTTTTGGACAAGTCCAAACGACGGAGCGAAGGAAGCTGAAGAAGAACAGAAGTGAGGAGGTTGTTGTGGAGGTTGAGCGTTTGCAGGCGCTTGAAGCCGCGGTGTACAGACACCGCAGCCACCTCCCGCAGCGCGTTGTTCGCCAGGTCCAGCTGCAGCAAGTTCGAGACCCGCAGCCGCGGGTCCAGCAGCCCCTTCCCGGGGGCCCCCAGGCTCTCCAGACAGAACAAGTTCGAGGAAAAGTCCAGACTCAAGTGCTGCTGCTCGGCCCACCGCGGGCCCAGGCACTCTTCAAACACTTCTCCGTCCAGCTGCGCGAACTGCGCGGCTTCTTCCGCGCCTTCTTCCCGCTCCATGGCTCCGCTGTACGTACACCCCGCGCTCCGCGCCGCCGCTCCGCTGCAACCCGCCGACGTCGCTAACGCCCCCTCAAGCGCCTCCTGCTGCGCATACAGCTCAGTGTTTGGGACAATCGAAACCCAAAATCCAAAAAATATCCAAAAATGCCCCAAAAAGTCCAAAAAGTTCCAGCAAAAGGCAAGACAAACTCCGCCGGCTTGACCCCCAGCAAGCCAAACACGCACAGGAGCCGCAGGGGCTCCCCGCTGCAGCTTCTGCCCCGCCTTCTGCTGCTAAAGAGCAAATGTAAACGCCGAAAACCCCAAAAAGACAGGAATTCAAAAAGTGATGGCGGTAAGCCCGAGGCGCCCAGACCCGCGGCACGGACGCTCACCTGTACAGACACCCGGGAACAACAGCAAACCACCACACAAGCCAGCCCGCCAAAAACTGCGGGAATTTGCGGGAAATGAAACTCTGGAGAGAAACAAAATAAATAAAGAGGTAAAACAAAAATAAACAAGGAAGGAAAAGGAGAGAAGGACGCGAAATGCAGCGGCCCTTGAACGAAACAGCGGCTCGCTGCCGGTGGGGCCCCGGCCCAGACCACTGTGGCCGCGGGCCCACGCCGCTTCCTTTTTGCCGCATTTCTCGCTAAAATACCTTTTTAAAACTTCAAATTGAATTCATTAAATATTTTAATTCTCCATTTGCTGCTTCCTTTTCCGCGGGGAAGCTGTAGCGCTGTCGGCGGCAGCCGACTCTCCCGTCGGGTGTGTAGCTCAATGGTAGAGCGGCTGACTGCAGATCAGCAGGTTCATGGTTCAATTCCGTGCGCGCCCTGTCGTTTTCCTTCCTTTTTTCTTCTACACACAACTTAAAAACAGGTTCCTTTTTAAAAATAACACCTTTCATTTGCTTTTTTCTTTCAAAAAGCCGCAATTTGCGCGAGATCGTGCAGCTTTCCATTTTTTCGCGGGGCCAGCGGTGTGGGTGTGTAGCTCAATGGTAGAGCGGCTGACTGCAGATCAGCAGGTTCATGGTTCAATTCCGTGCGCGCCCTCTTTTAATTTTCTTTTTTAAACTCGAAAACAAAAGATATTTCTTTTAAATTCAAATAATAAAGGAGCTTTCCTTCACTTTTCGCCTTTTTGCTGCTGCTGCAGTTCAATTCGCCTGGAGCGACACCCCGAAACAGCAGCAGCAGCAGCAACAGCAGCAGCAGCAGCAGCAGCAGCAGCAGGTCGGCTACGCGTCTGGTGTATCTACACCGCAAAGTTTCACATAAATAACTAATCAATAGAGTTTCTCAAGTTTCTATTTCACTATTAGTATTTCTTTAGCTTCTGCTGCATGCAGCAAATCTGCAAAGAGCTCCAAAACAAAAAAGAATTAAAGACATTTAATTTCAAAAATAAAACAAACAATTTTGGCTGCAACAAATGCGCAAATGCTGCGGCCAAAAGAATACACTTGATTTTGAATTAAAGTTTACTTTTTTGTTTTCTTTTGCTGCAGGAAATGCCTTTAAAATTAAAACTTTAAGAATAAAAAAAGATTGTTTAAACTTAACAGTCCAAAAACGTAAAAGACTTTTATAATGAAAAAATAAATTCGGCATTTGGGTTATTTAGTTGAAGTTTTGGAAACAATTCATATTTGGAATTAATTTTCTTTTAGCATTACTTCTCTTTTTAACATTTATTTTCTTTTTTTGCATTTAACTGATTTGAAAGTCTTCTTCGGACTCCGTCAAAAAACAAAACTGAAGAAAAATTTTTAAACCAATTAATCTTTTAGCTCTATCTTTTTGCAAAACAAATAAAATCAATTCATAATTTCTTTTCGAACTAAAATGAACTTTCCAGTTTTAAAAAATACCCTTTTCTTTCGTGATAAAACAAGAGAAAGTCTTCCTAAAATGCAAGAAACAAGTCACTATCCAGGCCTTGCTGCTGTTGCTGCTGCTTTTGCTGCTGCTGCTGCTGCTGCTGCTGTTGCTGCTGCTGCTTCTGCTGCTGCAGCTGCTGCTGCTGCTGCTGCTGCTTCTGCTGCTGCTGCTGCTGTGTGCGGCGCCGCGGGTGTGTAGCTCAATGGTAGAGCGGCTGACTGCAGATCAGCAGGTTCATGGTTCAATTCCGTGCGCGCCCTTCTTCTTGTTTTGAAGATAAGAATTAGCTAATATTCTCTTTTATTTCCTTTTTTTAAACTTTATAAAAGGTCCTTTTGCTTTTTCTTTTTCCTCTTCAAAAGCTCCTTTTCGTGTATAGAGCTGCGCAGAAAAAAAGAATTGTTTTTTCTTTTTTTTTGCTTTTACGGCTTTTCTCAGCAGATCGGCGAAAGCAGCAGAGGCAGCACAGTGCAGCACAGTGCAGCAGCAGCAGCAGCAGCAGCGCAGCAGTAGCAGGAGCACGCAGCCAGGCGGCGCTTTGCTGCTGCCTGCCCGCAGCCAGCGGGGCAGCTAGCTGCTGCTGCACGACTCCACGTGCAGTGGGACTCAGCAAAATGCACCCACAGCACTCACCCGCGGAGCTAGCTAGCTAGCTAGCTGGATAACAATCTAGCTAGCTAGCTAGCTAGTTGGCTAGCTATATAACAAGCTAGCTAGCCAGCTAGCTAACTAGCTGCCTGACTTGTTTACCTACTGCCTGGTCGGCTGGCTAGTGAGCTGGCTAGCCAGGCCAGCCTAGCTGCCTGGCTAGCCAGCCAGCTAGCCAGCTAGCTAGCTAGCCAGCTAGCCAGCTAGCTAGCTGGCTAGCTAGCTAGCCAGCCCGGGACTCCAACAGAAATGGCCCGCAGGCGCTGGCTAGCTGCCCCACGGGTGTGTAGCTCAATGGTAGAGCGGCCGACTGCAGATCGGCAGGTTCATGGTTCAATTCCGTGCGCGCCCTCGCGCTTTCCTGCTGCTGCTGCTGCTGCTTTTGCTGCTGCTGCTGCTGCTTCCCCCCGCAGCTGCTTCCTCCGTAGTCCTCTGCTGAACAACAGCGTCGGCTGGCATTTTTTCCCTTTCTTTTGCTGCTTGTTCTTTATTAAAGTATTTACCTTTTTTAGTTTTCGTTTAAATGCAAATTAGCAGCATCTCCCGTGTCTGCCTTAACAAGTTCCGTCTTCTTTCAACAGCAAAAGGTCCTGAGGCCCTGGGGGGCCCACCAGGGGCCCCCAGGGCCCCCGGGGCCCCCGAGGGCCCTCGCGCGAGGGCCCTCGGGACCTCAGCAGTGCAGGCGCACCGCCATGGGGGAAGCAGCAGCAGCAGCAGCAGCAGCAGCAGC